TTTTTTCACGAAAAACACTGAAAATTTGATAACAACGGATTTTGACGAATGAGGTATCAAATGAAAGGGTATTCGATAGAGACATTAATATCAACAGCCACATCATCCCCTATGCTCAGTGGAAAAAGTTATGAAAGAAATAGATCAATATTTATATGCAGACATGTCAAACATTTTTTTAAGGAGAAACCGAGTTGTGATTCGTATTCAGGACCCCTAAGAACCCTCAAATACGAAGTTTCATAGCATTCGAAAAATAAAACTTTTTTTCTTCCAATTTGAACCAAGGCTAAAGCCTTAGTTTTTTCACGAAAAACACTGAAAATTTGATAACAACGGATTTTGACGAATGAGGTATCAAATGAAAGGGTATTCGATAGAGACATTAATATCAACAGCCACATCATCCCCTATGCTCAGTGGAAAAAGTTATGAAAGAAATAGATCAATATTTATATGCAGACATGTCAAACATTTTTTTAAGGAGAAACCGAGTTGTGATTTGTATTCAGGACCCCTAAGAACCCTCAAATACGAAGTTTCATAGCATTCGAAAAATAAAACTTTTTTTCTTCCAATTTGAACCAAGGCTAAAGCCTTAGTTTTTTCACGAAAAACACTGAAAATTTGATAACAACGGATTTTGACGAATGAGGTATCAAATGAAAGGGTATTCGATAGAGACATTAATATCAACAGCCACATCATCCCCTATGCTCAGTGGAAAAAGTTATGAAAGAAATAGATCAATATTTATATGCAGACATGTCAAACATTTTTTTAAGGAGAAACCGAGTTGTGATTCGTATTCAGGACCCCTAAGAACCCTCAAATACGAAGTTTCATAGCATTCGAAAAATAAAACTTTTTTTCTTCCAATTTGAACCAAGGCTAAAGCCTTAGTTTTTTCACGAAAAACACTGAAAATTTGATAACAACGGATTTTGACGAATGAGGTATCAAATGAAAGGGTATTCGATAGAGACATTAATATCAACAGCCACATCATCCCCTATGCTCAGTGGAAAAAGTTATGAAAGAAATAGATCAATATTTATATGCAGACATGTCAAACATTTTTTTAAGGAGAAACCGAGTTGTGATTCGTATTCAGGACCCCTAAGAACCCTCAAATACGAAGTTTCATAGCATTCGAAAAATAAAACTTTTTTTCTTCCAATTTGAACCAAGGCTAAAGCCTTAGTTTTTTCACGAAAAACACTGAAAATTTGATAACAACGGATTTTGACGAATGAGGTATCAAATGAAAGGGTATTCGATAGAGACATTAATATCAACAGCCACATCATCCCCTATGCTCAGTGGAAAAAGTTATGAAAGAAATAGATCAATATTTATATGCAGACATGTCAAACATTTTTTTAAGGAGAAACCGAGTTGTGATTCGTATTCAGGACCCCTAAGAACCCTCAAATACGAAGTTTCATAGCATTCGAAAAATAAAACTTTTTTTCTTCCAATTTGAACCAAGGCTAAAGCCTTAGTTTTTTCACGAAAAACACTGAAAATTTGATAACAACGGATTTTGACGAATGAGGTATCAAATGAAAGGGTATTCGATAGAGACATTAATATCAACAGCCACATCATCCCCTATGCTCAGTGGAAAAAGTTATGAAAGAAATAGATCAATATTTATATGCAGACATGTCAAACATTTTTTTAAGGAGAAACCGAGTTGTGATTCGTATTCAGGACCCCTAAGAACCCTCAAATACGAAGTTTCATAGCATTCGAAAAATAAAACTTTTTTTCTTCCAATTTGAACCAAGGCTAAAGCCTTAGTTTTTTCACGAAAAACACTGAAAATTTGATAACAACGGATTTTGACGAATGAGGTATCAAATGAAAGGGTATTCGATAGAGACATTAATATCAACAGCCACATCATCCCCTATGCTCAGTGGAAAAAGTTATGAAAGAAATAGATCAATATTTATATGCAGACATGTCAAACATTTTTTTAAGGAGAAACCGAGTTGTGATTCGTATTCAGGACCCCTAAGAACCCTCAAATACGAAGTTTCATAGCATTCGAAAAATAAAACTTTTTTTCTTCCAATTTGAACCAAGGCTAAAGCCTTAGTTTTTTCACGAAAAACACTGAAAATTTGATAACAACGGATTTTGACGAATGAGGTATCAAATGAAAGGGTATTCGATAGAGACATTAATATCAACAGCCACATCATCCCCTATGCTCAGTGGAAAAAGTTATGAAAGAAATAGATCAATATTTATATGCAGACATGTCAAACATTTTTTTAAGGAGAAACCGAGTTGTGATTCGTATTCAGGACCCCTAAGAACCCTCAAATACGAAGTTTCATAGCATTCGAAAAATAAAACTTTTTTTCTTCCAATTTGAACCAAGGCTAAAGCCTTAGTTTTTTCACGAAAAACACTGAAAATTTGATAACAACGGATTTTGACGAATGAGGTATCAAATGAAAGGGTATTCGATAGAGACATTAATATCAACAGCCACATCATCCCCTATGCTCAGTGGAAAAAGTTATGAAAGAAATAGATCAATATTTATATGCAGACATGTCAAACATTTTTTTAAGGAGAAACCGAGTTGTGATTCGTATTCAGGACCCCTAAGAACCCTCAAATACGAAGTTTCATAGCATTCGAAAAATAAAACTTTTTTTCTTCCAATTTGAACCAAGGCTAAAGCCTTAGTTTTTTCACGAAAAACACTGAAAATTTGATAACAACGGATTTTGACGAATGAGGTATCAAATGAAAGGGTATTCGATAGAGACATTAATATCAACAGCCACATCATCCCCTATGCTCAGTGGAAAAAGTTATGAAAGAAATAGATCGATCAATATTTATATGCAGACATGTCAAACATTTTTTTAAGGAGAAACCGAGTTGTGATTAGTATTCAGGACCCCTAAGAACCCTCAAATACGAAGTTTCATAGCATTCGAAAAATAAAACTTTTTTTCTTCCAATTTGAACCAAGGCTAAAGCCTTAGTTTTTTCACGAAAAACACTGAAAATTTGATAACAACGGATTTTGACGAATGAGGTATCAAATGAAAGGGTATTCGATAGAGACATTAATATCAACAGCCACATCATCCCCTATGCTCAGTGGAAAAAGTTATGAAAGAAATAGATCAATATTTATATGCAGACATGTCAAACATTTTTTTAAGGAGAAACCGAGTTGTGATTCGTATTCAGGACCCCTAAGAACCCTCAAATACGAAGTTTCATAGCATTCGAAAAATAAAACTTTTTTTCTTCCAATTTGAACCAAGGCTAAAGCCTTAGTTTTTTCACGAAAAACACTGAAAATTTGATAACAACGGATTTTGACGAATGAGGTATCAAATGAAAGGGTATTCGATAGAGACATTAATATCAACAGCCACATCATCCCCTATGCTCAGTGGAAAAAGTTATGAAAGAAATAGATCAATATTTATATGCAGACATGTCAAACATTTTTTTAAGGAGAAACCGAGTTGTGATTCGTATTCAGGACCCCTAAGAACCCTCAAATACGAAGTTTCATAGCATTCGAAAAATAAAACTTTTTTTCTTCCAATTTGAACCAAGGCTAAAGCCTTAGTTTTTTTCACGAAAAACACTGAAAATTTGATAACAACGGATTTTGACGAATGAGGTATCGAATGAAAGGGTATTCGATAGAGACATTAATATCAACAGCCACATCATCCCCTATGCTCAGTGGAAAAAGTTATGAAAGAAATAGATCAATATTTATATGCAGACATGTCAAACATTTTTTTAAGGAGAAACCGAGTTGTGATTCGTATTCAGGACCCCTAAGAACCCTCAAATACGAAGTTTCATAGCATTCGAAAAATAAAACTTTTTTTCTTCCAATTTGAACCAAGGCTAAAGCCTTAGTTTTTTCACGAAAAACACTGAAAATTTGATAACAACGGATTTTGACGAATGAGGTATCAAATGAAAGGGTATTCGATAGAGACATTAATATCAACAGCCACATCATCCCCTATGCTCAGTGGAAAAAGTTATGAAAGAAATAGATCAATATTTATATGCAGACATGTCAAACATTTTTTTAAGGAGAAACAGAGTTGTGATTCGTATTCAGGACCCCTAAGAACCCTCAAATACGAAGTTTCATAGCATTCGAAAAATAAAACTTTTTTTCTTCCAATTTGAACCAAGGCTAAAGCCTTAGTTTTTTCACGAAAAACACTGAAAATTTGATAACAACGGATTTTGACGAATGAGGTATCAAATGAAAGGGTATTCGATAGAGACATTAATATCAACAGCCACATCATCCCCTATGCTCAGTGGAAAAAGTTATGAAAGAAATAGATCAATATTTATATGCAGACATGTCAAATATTTTTTTAAGGAGAAACAGAGTTGTGATTCGTATTCAGGACCCCTAAGAACCCTCAAATACGACGTTTCATAGCAATCGAAAAATAAAACTTTTTTTCTTTCAATTTGAACCAAGGCTAAAGCCTTAGTTTTTTCACGAAAAACACTGAAAATTTGATAACAACGGATTTTGACGAATGAGGTATCAAATGAAAGGGTATTCGGTGGAGACATTAATATCAACAGCCACATCATCCTCTATGCTCAATGGAAAAAGTTATGAAAGAAATAGATCAATATTTATATGCAGACATGTCAAACATTTTTTTAAGGAGAAACAGAGTTGAGATTCGTATTTAGGACCCCGAAGAATACTTGAATACGAATTCTCGAAGTGTGAATATAAGGTAATTGGGCAACATTCTTTTATGATCATTAAGTGATTCTTTTTTTATTTTTCTAACAACAGTTATTTGTTATAGAGATTGGTATTTTAATGTTGACTGATTAAAAATAGAAGAAATATGTTTAGACAAGAATTGGGAAATACAATGTTAATTAAAATGAAAATTAATAGTTGTTCTTAGTGACCTAGGACGGGTTAATGTTTTTACAATATATTAATTCACCTGTTGTAGAGTGCGATATCAGGCTGCCAAATCTCATGATCTGCCAAATGAAGATGTTTTAGACCGCCGTAATCGCTAGCATTCCACTGTAATTTGTCATCACGCCATTTCTAGAAGTAAAAAAAAAGTATATATATATATATAATATATATATATATATAAGCACTTGGGCAATGAATACTAATTGATTCAATTTCACTCACCATTTTAAGCCAAGCATTGACTGTCAACAAGAACTTAGCGTCATCCTAAAAATCGATAATGAGCTTTTCATGAAAAGAGAACTTAATAGACATTTTATAAATATGTAAAATAAATAAATATATACGAAACAAAATCTTCAGTACTTTTAGTAAATATATTTTTGTTGGAATAGCCGCCGTTTTGACCCGAACATGTAGGTCATCCTTAGGTATATCGCGGTTCGAAACGTCGGTTAACCTACTAAAAATATCTTGACGAAAGTCCTAAAAATTTTGTTTCTTCCATATAGGCCGTGGTACAGACTTTTTTTAATAAAATTTTTAAAATCCGCCTGAAACATTATAAATAGATTCATGTCAACGTAACCTACAACTCTTTTATTTACGATAATTCTCGTATTTTTTTTTTTAATGGATTATTTGTTTATTTATAAATATTACAATCTGTCTCAATAAAGGACATTTATAATAGAGTTCTGAGAGCACATTCACACCATATTTACAAATTAAAAAAATATAAAATAAATAAGATAATTTCAAAATAATATAAAGCTAAATAAGAAAAAAATAAAATATCATAGTGAAGGAAGAATATATAAATAATAGTAATAATAGAATAAAAATAAATGAATAAAATAGAATTAAAATTATCTTTAAAAAAAAGTAATGAAAATAAACATCTTAGATGCAGGCATACCTAAATTCTCGTAATTAGGGCGTTTTCAATCTTGAGATCGGCGAACTTTGCCTATTTAATTAGGTACTAAAAACTCGTAAATACCCATTTGCTTTCCACTTCAATCGTAAGATGTTTTGAGCAAAATCTCAATGAATGACCTATGTTTAGAAATAACTTGTAAAAAAGCAATAGAAATACATATTTACTAATGCAAACAGAGCTATTTTCTACCTTTTAAAAGTATTAAGATCTCAAAACAAGGGTGCTATAATAAAGTCAATTATGTTATATCGCTACGAGATCTGAATACCAAGCAGCAGTCATAAGGAAGTATTAAAAGATTCGAGAGAAAAAAAAATCAAGAAAGACCAATAAATAGAAACTGGTCAATGAAATATCTCACGATAATCCTCAAGCTGTTTACAGACAGCTATATCTTTATAAATTACTTTATCTCATAATATGAAGGCAAGGTGGTTAAGATAGGCGGGGCATGTAGCTTGGAGCAATCCATCAGGAACCCTCTACACAACAATGTCTTAATAGTTGGCAAGAGACCAAAGTAGAAAGCCAAAAACCAGATGAATAGATCAAATCAGCAAAGATATTAAAGAGCTTCATGCTGATAGCTGAAAAAAATGTAGATAGAGATGGGTTGAGAAGTCTGTTTAAGGCTTTCAGAAAAGCCGACAAAAAAGAACGATTAAAAAAAAAAATTTTGTTTCTATAAATTTTTTTTTTTAATATCATCGAACATTTATTTTAGAAATAAGAATATTTTTAATGAAGAGAAGAATAGTTGGGGTGATCAGTCAAATATAAGAAGAGTCAAAGAAGGCAAAAATAAATGATAATATTATGATGATATATGATAATATAAATAATAATAACCGGTACAAAGTGTGGAATGATGAAGTAAACATAATCAAAAAAGGTGACATAAGTATTAAAATGGGAATCTTAGAATAAAATGTAAAACAGAAAAATATGAAGTTATATAAGAAATGGAAATAAATAGTAAAATTAAGATATTGCGAATAGAATAGTTAGATAGAAAATTGAGATTTTTCATTTTCTATCAATTTTCAATTTAACTATTCATTTTCTATATAACTATTGTTATTATTCTAACAACTGCATTTTACTTTAATTTTTTTACCTACACTACTTATGTTTCTCATACCTTGTTACCTGGTCCTTTTCTTAGCCCTGATGAAGGCCTGAACTTCAGGGCGAAACGTCGGCAAATGTCAACTTCTTATTTGACTGATCACCCCAATTATTCTTCTCTTCATTATTCACGACAGTCAACCATCTACCCACAATTAAGAATATCTTTACTTGAATGCGACACTGCATTTCTTTCTTATCATAAAAATCCTCCTACTATCGCATCAATTGCCCTCCAAAACCACCTCTGAGATATTGAAAAGTGGTTTGAAAAATGAAAATAAATACTAGCAAATCCACCCATGTTAGTTTTTCTTTCAATTCCATCCACTAGTTCTTTCTGACTCCCTGTTAATTCGAAGCAGATTAAAAAGGAAATGGTCGTGAGACCTACCAATTACAGCGAAGGTGCAAATGACATAGAAAATAAAAATAAATAAAATAATTATTATTTTTGTTTCTTACAAGATGAACATGCTTCAGGTCGATATCCATAATGACAGTGGTGATGTTAGTGTGTTGGGTCGGGCGGGCGAATTTGTCATAGCTCGTCAACAAGTCTCTTTTCAACTGGTCTGTGTACGTCGAGTTCCACAGGGGCTTAGCTGGAACACAGATCATTCTTGGTTATATTTAATGCTTCCATCATTTACCTACCTTCATTTATTTACAAAATGAACCTTAATCATCATCATACAAAATATCAAAACTTAATATAAATATATTTATAAAAATAATTAAGAAATTATTATTTGAATTATTTATTTTTATCAAATATTCCCGAAAATCACTGATTATTTTAATTATTAAAATACATTGAAACTTAACTTAGCTTAACTTAAGCCTCTGGTATGTTTCCTCCCATCAACATTTTCTGGATATGAATGAATATATATTATATTTTCTATAATTTTTACTTTCACTTCCCAATATCTCCCAATACCGTAAATATTTTTACTCAAGGTAGGGTGGTAAGTGAAAGTTGGATGATGCGCTTACCGCACCAGATTTTAAAATTAACAGCCCTATTTTCACTAAAGTACCTTCGCCTATTCAGAGCAAATAAGCTAACTATCAAATGAAGGACGAGAAATAGCAATATTGACAGTAGTAGTCTGTGGAAGGAGGGATAGAGGTCGTGGAAGATGAGAACTTCCTGCCTATTGCTATAATGGAGGCTCCTTACGGTTCCTTTCTTTTGTCAATACGATCAGGTCAAAGCTTAATGTGCAACGCAAAGCGTAATAATATAGTTTAAGCAAGCTAAGCGAATATATTGAATAGATTATCTAATACTTTGAAATCAAGGGGTACAATGTCTTTTATATGTAATTTCTATGACAGCGGAAGGTGTAAAAAGAATAAATATAATATATAAATAATTTAAGCATTTCCAAATCATATTCAACATTCTCAATTTTTCCAAGTCAAATTCAGCTGATTTCAAAACAAATTAAATTCAACCTTTCCCGTTTCAATATCAAGTTGCGATTTATTTTAACTCTTATATACCTACTGAAAACTCGTATATACCCATTTGCTTTCCACTAGGTTCGAAAGATAATTTGATCATTAAATTGAGATAAAATGTGTCCTTCAAAAATATTGAGCCGTTTGGGGTGACCTACACCCCCACATTGTCAAAATAACGAGGTTATGTATAGGCCTTTTTTTAAAAATCAAATTTGTGTTCAAATTATCTTAAAATCCAAGTGGAAGGCAAATTGATATTTACGAATTTTTAGTAACTAATTCGTAATACTTTTTTTTTTTTTTTTTTTTTTTTTTTTTTTTTTTTTTTTTTTTTTTTTTTTTACGCGATCGTTAATAAATTCTAGGAAAACTTTTCGGGTTATTTGATATAAGGGTTATTTATTATATAATGGAGGAGTAGTTTTTAAAAAGTACAACCCATTTAAATATTATGCAATCTGAATCGATTTGTTTATACTATTTGTACTTCTTCGATGTAAGGATCTATTTTTTTTTAAGGGATCGTTTATGAAAATAAAATTAATTAAATGATTACGCGCTCGTATGTCGATTTATCGTCACTTTTGGGATTCATTCGATACATGGTTATTAAAAATGCCATCGATTTTTACACTGATCTCGCATCGATTTTATTTATTTTTTTAAACGTAAAAATAAAATTTATTTTAATTTTGCGTGCATTAATCATTATTATATTTTTAATATCTTTGATAAAGAGGTTCAATATCACGTTATCGTATCATTGAGTGAATTAAGGTGGAAATATCCAAAGAAACAAAAATAAATAAATATCGTCAGTTTATTTCAAAAAGTCAGTGACATTTGATAACCTTTTTTTTTTTATTTTTCTATTTTTTTTAAACATATTTATTGAAAAATATTACAATCTGTCTCAAGGACAATGTTTTTTATTTATTTTAATTTATTTTATTTAATTGATGTATACATCAATGTTGAAATCTTTGATTGAACCTTAAAACAACATACATGAAATAGTTTTTACAACCGATGGAAACCAGCGATACCAGGCCAAGTGGGTGAAACTTTAAATGAAAAAATGTAAGAAGTTTCGTATATGTTTAGTAATTTTCTTTTATTAGTTTAAATATAATAAAAACTGAAATTATTGTGATTTTCAAAACCTCCATAATTTCGGTTTCAAAACTTTTTGTAGGCACGTCATTATATTTAAATAGGTTATTGCCTAATTAGTAACTAAGTAATTAGTAAGTTTAGTCATATTTAGAGGCCAATTATTGCATTTTCATGTTTTTTTACTGCATATTTCAGGGGTTTTACTGCATATTATAGGACATATTCTTGTTTGTTTTTTTTTTTTTGCTTGGTTATTATATATCAATCGATTTTTTTTTTTTTTGTGCAGAATAAGAAAAAATATTTACTATTGTATTAAATGAGTTATAACGTATCATAAATTACAAAAATCAAAAGGCGCTTCCAGTAAATTAAACCAAGTATTTTTTTTTTTTTAAATCAAGTTAGATTACTTTTTCGTGTCCTTTGAAACTCTTAAATACAATTGTTTGTAGAAATAAAAAAATACTTAAATTTAATACTTTATTTTCTTAGAGCATATTATTTCCAGCGTATAACTAAAGCTTTCATAACTTATCAGGATTTTCTTGAAATTCAACTTTAATATAACGTTGGAAAGCTGAATTACTCTTCTTCCAACCCATATTGATAACTTTAAGATTTCATTCCTTTTTAAATTAGAAATTAACAAAAACTGCCCAATAAATTTATTTTACATCTTTGTTTACTGAGGTCGGCGTTGTACCATTTCGTGTTGCGTATAGAGCCCTAAATCCATAATAATTATTGATGTAGAGATGGCTGATCGTGATATAATCTGAGAAGGAGTTGATAGAGGGGTGTGGTCAAATAAATACTAAATTATAAAAATATAATTAATAAAAATTACAAAATTAATAATACTATTTTTATAATTTAGTATTATAAAAATAGTATCAACTCCTTCTCACATAATAATTCTTGTGGGGATCGGAATTAATTCTAAATATATCACAATTTTTCCACAAAAATAAAAATATGGTAGCTGTCGACAAAATTTCGAAGGGTACAAACCTAGGCAAAAATTTAGAACAGAAAATTTTAATTTTTCGATTGCTATATACATTCGTGTTTAAGGGTTTTTTGAGGTACGAAAAACGAATATGAACTTCGTTTCTCCTTAAAAAAATATTTACTATAGATACCAGACCGGGATTGAATAAATATTTATTCGGTAGATGGCTAAAATGTAGACACAATTTGTTAATATTATTTGAGTAAATATTTTTTTATGGAAAAACAAATTTGATATTCGTTCTTCGCACTTCGAAAAATCATTTAAGTGCTTAACTATTAAACTGGAGAGATATTTACCAGTGACAAAAGCTAATCATTTAAGTATAGAGTAAGTTAATCAACTAACTTGTTGCTTTAACAGTTGTGTTTAAGTATGAAGCTTCACGAATTGTATATATTGAATAGACTATCTTGAAAATATTATATGAGTAATGTTTGTACGAATATACGTACTTCACTGATGTGCAATGCATTATGGAGTAGGATAACTACTTAGAGAGTTCTTACTGGGGTATACTATTTGGCATAATTTGTTTTAGCTAATTGTCTCGAGTTTGTATTTTTTATTAAATTATTATTATCAAAGCTTTTCAACTTTAAAAAAAAAATGTTTCCACTGAAAGTGAGGTGGTAAGTGAAAGTTGTGTGTTTTAGCTAATGTTTTAATGTTTTAATGTTAGCTAATGTTTTAGCTAATTGTCTCGAGTTTGTATTTTTTATTAAATTATTATTATCAAAGCTTTTCAACTTTAAAAAAAAAATGTTTCCACTGAAAGTGAGGTGATAAGTGAAAGTTGTGTGATACGCTCATTAGACTTTATTAAATTTTTGAACATCTTTGAACGGTGTTTTTACATTTATATTTTAACACTCCGAAGATCACACCGGATCTCAGAGATAATAAAAGCGTTTCATTTGTTTTTATATCGCTTGAGAGAGGAAGACGCATTTTCCTGGTTTCTTTGAGGAGTGACCTGTGATACGTCCAATTTTTGTTCCAAAACTTTAAAATTGACAGGATACGCAGAATTTTTTCACGGGAAGGTATGCAATGGCTACTCATCTAATTGAAATCGAAGCCTTTATTTGGGGTCTTATGTATGTTAGGAATGCATGAAGGAGGGATAAAATATTTGGATGATTTATAGGACTCAGTGGATTTGGATTCGAAATATTTTTGTCTCAGTATGATAGTACGAAGGTTTCGATTTTGGTTTATTATTTTCAATAATGAACCATTGTAATCGAACAAAAAATTCAAATACTTAACCCCCTCTAAAAATTTGAGGTTTTACGTTTCAGGGTAAGTAGAATTAGAAAAGCGAATACATTTTTTTTTTTTATTATATAGTAAGGCTGTGTTTTATTTCTTCACCACATTTATTTCAATTTACATAGCTTTATTAACGTTTCGGCCGGTAAGCCATTTTATTAACCATACTCGTTGCATGTAGTCCAAAGTCAGAATCTAACTTTGTTTGTATTAATTATTCTTTAATCAAATTAAACAGTATTATAATTTTTCCTTGTATTCAGTGACTTTTGTGTCCCTATATAATGAAATACAGAATTTAATGTTCAAATTAATACTTTGTAAAATTGTTTTTCGTTTTGATATGTTAAAATTATGTACCCCATGCCAGACTGAAACGACTAGAAACCGCCCGACGTTTTCGAATACTTACTAGACAAACGATCAAAGCTTTCAATCAATTATAAACGACTCGTATATATGACTATAATAAGGCCTGTTTGGACTTACGGAATTGAGCTTTGGGGCTCCACTAAACCATCGAAATCCTCTCGTATCCAATCCTTACAATCCAAAATCCTTCGTTAAATCCTCAACGCTCCTTACTTTGTCACAAATAAAATCATCCATAAAGACCTTAATGTTCCATATGTTTCCGATTTGGCCCAATCCAGATACTTGTCCTTCCATAACAAACTGCAGAACCATCCGAATCCTCTCGTTTCAAACCTTGCTTCCTCCTCGATCCCTGATAACCCTCCGAGGCGTCTGAAAAGAAGATGGCCTCGGGATCTTCTAATATAGAACTTTAATTTGAGTTCTACCAATGGGTAGTTTCTCTTCATGTTGTACATGTCATATTACCAATTTCACATTTACGTATTGTATTTTCTATGTAATACAGTTGTAAATTCCATTAAAATAATAAATAAAAAAAATAATAATAAATTATGTAACTATGTTTTTATTCAATAAATATATTTAAAAAATCATCTAATATCTTTTTCACTCTGTACAATGAGAAATTAGTTGGTGTTTTTGATCGATAAATTAATTTAGTGAAGTGGATCTTGCAGATCTGTAGCAATCTTCCATGTGACTCCAAGTCTAGCGACCTAAGTATAGCCACTCTAAGTATAGTGTGTTAATATACTTATATTTTATTAAATTACTCACTGAATTCGCCATGTTCGTGCTCCACGTACGTCGACTCCGTGAGGACAAAGAAGATCTGAATTATAGCGACCAATGCCACCGGAGGGGAAGACATCACTGCAGAGAATCGAGGAGCCACTTGCCATCTCTCCCACTGTGATCACTTCCTGATTGGTCCGTCTTTTGTGATCGGCCGTTCTAATATCCAGGATAGGACAAGCTCTACTTGGCTCGGGGCAGAATTTGAGGGTGGCGAATTTCAGATGGAATTGTATTTTTATGCTAAATAAAGATATCTGTACCTGCATTATGATTTTTTTTTTAAAGTTATTTTAGGCAAAAAAATGAAATTATGTAAATATGTGTTAGTATAGTCAATGAATGCTCGAAAATATTGTATAGAAGGAAATAGCGGCGACACAATTTTTGAATTTAGGGCATTGTTTGGACTGGTAAGGAGGTAAATATACTAAAATATGTGTGGGAGCGCCTAGTAGATCACTTTTTTCGTGTTTTCGCTTATATCAGGAAAAGTATCCGTCGCATCGACAAAGGCGTTCTATACAAAATTAAAGCTGATAAAATTTGTAATATGATTGATTATATAATTGTTTTCGCTATCTAGCTTAGTTTCCGAGATAAACGTAGTCAACTATTGCTAATTTTGAAACAAAAACATTTTGCCTCATGTTTATTGCTGTTTTTCGAGTTTTTGCTTAAATCAAGAAAACTACCCATCGCATCGACAAAGACGTTCTATACAAAATTAAAGCTGAAGAAATTTGCAATATAATTGATTATATATTTGTTTTCGCTATCTCGCTTAGTTTCCGAGATATACGTAGTAAACTATTGCTAATTTTGAAACAAAAATATTTTGCCTCGTGTTTATTGCTGTTTTTGAGTTTTTGCTTATATCAGTAAAACCATTCATCGCATCGATAAAGACGTTCTAAACAAAATTAAAGCTGATAAAATTTGCAATATGATTGATTATACACCTTTCTTCTTTATCTCGCTTAGTTTTCGAAATATCCGTCTTCAACTATCGCTAATGTGGACAAAAAAAATTTTACCTCATGATTTTCACTGTATTTAAAATTTTGTTTTTCAATATTAGCCATAATTGACGAAGGACACTAGCGTACCCAGGATTTAATTTTGGGTAGGCTACAGCCTGAAAGCTTTTTTTTTTCATAAAAACTACTAGAACCTACCTGCCTGTATGAAATGGTGTTTAAGTGACTCCTAAAGTCCTTTTAAATGTAATTACACTAACAATAATACTTTAAGAGATACTTTTTAAATATTTATTTCCATAAAACATGGTTATATTTTACCATTTTGGTGAGGCTTCAGCACCAAAGGCCCCCCTCGCTCCCCGTAGATCCGCCCGTGACGACGGATATCACGGAAACTAAGCGAGATAGCGACAAAAGGCCAATCATATTGATAATTTTATGCGATGGATAAGGGCAGAAAAAAAAATATAAATATTAATAAATATAAATATATATTTTTTATTTAGATAACTTATATAAATCATAATTATTTATAAATTTATAAATATAAATGTTTATTTAAATAATAAAAATAGGTGTGAAGAACAAAAAATGATATTCGCGTGGTCCTCGCTGGCCGATTTGTGTAAAAAAAAAACATTTATTAAAAAAATAAAAAAATATAATTATTTATTTATACAAATTGTTTGACAGATCACCACAACCATTCTTCTCTTTAATTATATGCACAATTATCTCTGAATATTAATGAAAATTTAAATAAGAGCAATATACCAGATTGAAACGATAAGAAACCGCTCTACGATTCCGATTACTTCAGCACTTACTAGACAAACGCTCTAAACTTCCAATTAATTACAAAAGACTCATATACATGACTATAATAAGGCCTATTTGGACTTACGGAGTTGAGCTATGGAGCTCCACTAAACCATCGAATTCCTCTCGTATCCAATCCTTACAATCCAAAATCCTTCGTAAAATCCTCAATGTTCCCTACTTTGTTACAAATAAAACCATCTATAATGACCTTAATGTTTCTTTTGTTTCAGATCTGGCCCAATCCAGATACCTATCCTTCCATAATAAACTTCAGAATCATCCGAACCCTCTCGTTTCTAGCCTTGCTTCCTCTCCAATTCCTGATAACCCTCCGAGGAGTCTGAAAAGAAGATGGCTCCGTGATCTCCTAATGTAGACACATCATTAGAGTGCTACCATTGGGTAGTTACTCAGCAAGTGTTTTCACGTCATTATATCCATATATTGAAATTTACTAGATTTATTTCTTTAATATAGTTGTAAATATCATTAAGAAATAATAACAAATAATAATAGGAATATTTTGGCAGTGATAAAATAGTTAGGTATCCACTTATTGGCTTATGATAAAATATATACTTACCAAGCCAGCTAATCGAATTTTCTTCATCGATTTTAGTTTACATATTTTATTCATTCATCTTGTTTGTAATTTTTTTTGGCCTCTTCTATTTATTGGGAGAGGGACGACACGATATTCTCGCTCCCTCAAGATTTTTATTGAAGGGGAGGGCGACCACCCCTCCGTAATCTGCGACTATGTTACAAATTGCGTGATTTTATCAAATATTATACTGATTTATAACTAATAGCAAGTTATTATTAATGAGTGTGAGAACACGGGTTTGTTGCCAAGTAACCGGTAACCAGGTTACAGAAGCGTTGCGATTACAGATCGACCAGTGAGACATGGCGCTCGAACTGGCGAGGACGGATTACTGTCTCGTCGGAATGACGGCTCCTCGCTGCATGCGGCTTCTACCGCATCTTGGTCTAAGCAAAGTAAACTAGATATTGCTTATTATTTATCGGACATATTGTTTCTAAAGTCGTGATACCTTGTAAATCCCCAATATCAAAACTACCATCGATACACTTTTTTATTTATAATTCATCGTCGATTGTTGTAGTCTGTGGTGAGACTCCTCTTTATCATCTCTCCAAAAATTCGTGAATGGATTTTACTAATCATAACATACAACTTTTTCATCTACGAAAATTCACAGAAATCGGACGTTTTCTCATTAAATTAATTAATTTAATGACGTATTAAAAACACATGAGTACCCATTTACTTTCTAGTTAAACCATAAGATAATTTGATCACAAAATCGTGGAAAAAGGTTTCGCCCCTCCCAAGATATTTTATTGTTTTCTGCTTCTTAAAAACAGTGCAAACGAAAATATAACTTAAATATTTATAGATTAAATTCAATTACACATCCTGCAGTCCGTTTCATGCTTCCATTTTTTTTTTTTTATTTGAAACTTCATAATTCATAAGCCCGTCGAAATATGCCCCCCTTCATAAATTTTAATGTTAATTTTAATGTTTACTGTTATTTTGACATGTTGAGGATGGAGGTCTTGCCAAACTTTTGTACGACTCAAGTGGAAAGCAAATGGAGTAGCTCATTAACTTTACTTTTAGTAGCTCATTAAATAATAATTTTTACCCATCTCCAGATTGAAAATGTTCAATTACTAATTATTTTATATATATAAAAATTTTCTAAGTTACGGTAAGATAAATCGATTCATAAAGTTTTTCAAGCATGTTAATAATTTGATAAATAGGGGTCTGTACCATTGATTATTAGGACCATTGGCTGATCCAGAAATTATCCCTAGAAGCATTATTAATTAATTTATTATTTGTTTTTTTAACAGGCCTTCAAGGGTCACTTAAACAACATTTTTCTTCCAGAGATTAGTTTAGTGACAGGCATAAACTAGAGATGCTCATCCCTTCCCATGATCAATGGCACCTAAACCTCTTTCCTCCTCCCATCCATGGGATCCAGGATTTAATTTTAGGGAGTCTTCAGCCCGAAAGTTTTTTTTTCTTATATATAACAATAATTAATTTTTTAAAAAACTAACTACCTATATGAAATGGTGTTTAAGTGGTTCTTGAAGTCCTACTAAATGTAATTACACAAACAAGAATACTTTAAGAGATATTTATTTTTCTGTAAAACATGGCTATATTTTACCATTAGGGAGGGAGAGGGTGGCTTCAGGCCGAAAGCCTCTCCCTTCTCTCCGTAGATCCGCCTGAGTTCCCAAGATATTTTATTGCTCTCCTTTTCTTAAAATGCAAACAGAAATTAAATTTAAAAAATTATAAATCTTATACAATATTACTTTATTTACAATTATTTTTTTTATTAAAATAAAAAATAATTGTGAAAAAAAACCATAGATAACTATGTCAAATATGTATATTTAATCAAACTGAGAGATTTAAAAATAAAAAGACATTTATTGTTATAAGACTATTTATATAAGGCATTACTGAAAACAAATAAAGTAAATTAAAAAAAAAAATCATATTTTAGGCTTTGTAGGATAATTAATAAATTTTTATTTTTCTAGAGTATTAGTGTGGTTAATTAACTAAACCAATAAAAAGAAATTAAATAATGAAAACAATAAGATTTCCTTTCTTATTTCATGTTGAACGATGGAATTATAATCTAGTCCAGAGGTACCCAGAAGAGAGTTTCATGGTACAAGTTGTGCCATCAAAGTTTATGAGGGGAGCACTTTTAGACGGGGTTTTCAATTTTATATGGATACAATTTTGTGTGGATTATGAATTTTCAAAATGAAAAGTTTCAAATTGAAAGTGGAAGTATGGAACAGATCGTTGGATATGTAATATTATATAATCTACGAACATTTAAATTCTACTTTTGTTTGCACTGTTTTTAAGAAGAAGAAAGGAATAAAATATCTTGAGAGAGGTGGGGAAGGTTTATCCGCTATCGGCCTTGGGGGAATGGGCATCCCTGATCTAGGCTTTTTCATTTCACCATTTTTTCGTGCACTTATTAAGTGCATTCCATTTTTATCCCTTCAAACCATACTCAAATTCATTATAATTATTGTGGAGCTTATATGTTCTCTTTGTTATTTTAATTTAGATTATAAATACATTCCAAGGAAGTTTTGTAAAACTAATAAGAAATAATAATTGTTGACAGGTGGCAGTGGGAGGTCAAGATGGAGTCCTCCAAGTCTTCTCTTTAAAAAAACATGAAATACAGTTCTCCTTTAAGACTTTACCCGGGGACCCGATCTCAGCTCTTCAGCTTGGTGGCACTATTGGTGAGGGGTAGGATAATATATATAATATAGGATAATAATTTAAAATGTTTGCAATTCAGCACTTTTAAGAAATGATAATAAATGAATAGGAATTTCTCTTTCATACACACTCTCTCTTATGTCCATTAAATAAAAGAAAAATCAAATAATCGGCATAGCGAGATATCAAATAATTAAAAAAATTATCAATTATTATTGTAAAATAAACTGCTAAATTTTCTTCTGACTTTTACTGATTATTCTATTTAAGGAGCTCCTCAAGATAAGATATTTGTTGCATCCAAGACCGAAGTGAGAGGCTTTTCGAAAAAGGGTAAACTATTTCTGGGCTTGGACACTAACATGACCGAGCACATCAAATCCATGTGAGTAAATACATCATTTTGTTTGTTTTAGGATATATTATAAAAACAAAAATTGAGCAAAATTATCAAATATTTCAGTTTAGAGTTTAGAAATATGTCATGTGAGATCCATATACTATCTTTTAAAATAATTAATTAATCATAGGTAAAAATTGAACCACTGTTAATCCTAAGGAAAAATTTTTTTTTTTAAACATTTAATTGAGAAATATTACAATCTGTCTCAGTTAAGGACACTTATAATAGAGTTCAGAGAATACATTCATGCCGTATATTCAGAAATATAAATAAATAAAGTAATAACAAAATAATAAGAAAAACAAGAACAAAAGAGAATATATATATATATATATATATATATATATATATATATATATATATATTATATATATATATATATATATATATATATATATATATATATATATATATATATAGGAAACAATAAAATTTAAATTTGACCAGTAACCCGAAAGTATCAATGAAAATTGAACCACTGTTAATCCTAAGGAAACAATTTTTTTTTTTTAAACATTTTATTGAGAAATATTACAATCTGTCTCAGTTAAGGACACTTATAATAGAGTTCAGAGAGTACATTCATACCGTTTATACAGAAATATAAATAAATAAAGTAATAACAAAAGAATAAGAAAAAAAAAGAACAAAAAAGAAAAAAAATATATATATAGGAAACAATAAAATTTAAATTTGACCAGTAACCCTAAAGTATCAATGAAAATCAAATGGAATAACAGAACAATCCCAAAAAAAGAAAATTAACGATTATATTAAGAGTTTTATTTAAAATGAGATAAACAAAATGAAGGTGCGTGAAAGACATGAAAATGGCTCTAGATAGCCAAACCACCAAGAAAAATAAAAGAATAGTTGGTGACTGCTTGAAATTATTTAAATAATAAAAAATATTGTTTCCCATTTCCAAAGGTTGTACTCTTCTTTGGCAACCTTATCAGCTGTTTTATTTGTTCCATATGATGCATCAATGTCTTCAGGCAGGTGAGTGGAATTGACTTGATGGTAGCCGGCAACCATCTCTTCAACCACTACAGAAACTGCAAGGACGTCAATTCTTACCTCTCCAGTGATAACATCAATGATCTTCAAGTAATGTCTTTAGATAAGGTAATGTACCTTTTATTTCAGAAATAATTCTTTTATCAACTTGGTTCAATATAAAATTATTTATTCCTCTAATATATGGAACCATATAATTATTTTTGACGAACATGCTATGTTATATAGTTCAGGTAGAATATATAATGCTTATATGTTGTAAAAAAAATGGTGAATTACAGCTATTCAGTTGCTTACTTTACTTTTTATACTTTCAAAAGCAAATTGCTTTCGAGCTCAATACTCTCATTAGGTAGCCTTTTACTTACCTCTAGGAGGTCTTGTTACTTATATTATTTATTAATTTTCTAGTTATTTGTGCTGTTTTGCTTTGTTTATACCCATTCAGTTTACCTTCTGTCTCTGATTTATTTCTAAACTTATGGTCATGTCACATCCAATTTGGTGTGAAACCATAAGTTTAAATGATCCTAAATGACCAGATTAAGCTTTCTATTCAACAAATTAAAGAAATAAACCTATTGATGTAATTGTTCTGAATGATTGATACTGAGCATATTCTAATCATTAATACTCTTGTTTACAGAACCACAGATTGGTATCTGTGCTGGCTTGCGAGGACAGACTGTTACGGATTATCGAGAGATCAGCGATGAGTCAAACTTTCCCGTTGCACAGTGCTCCAGTGGTACTTAGCCTTTTGGGTGATACGGGCGGTGAAGGAGGAGAGGGGCTTGTCGTTGCTATGGAAAATGGAGACATTGGTCTTGTCCAAGTGAACAGGTGATTTTTCTATATAATAATTTTAATAAAAGAATAATATACTGTTTATTTTACAATCTGCCTTATGTGAGAATTATAAACACCTACAGTACACATCTAGGATAAATAAAATATAAATAAGCAAAATTAAAAGCTATATATGAAAAAAAAAATTAACAAATATAAATCCTCTTATAAATCGGGACAAATCAGAATTTTATTAAGGTATTCCTTGTCATCCGAAAGATAACCACAATTGTTAAATTTAACTGGTTACAGGGATGGTAAGACAACTTATTGGACAAATATTAACTCAAGTGATTATATAAAAGACCAAATGCATAAAAATAGGTGTGAGTAGTTTTAATATAATATTGAAAAAAAAAACTATTGGTTAAATGGAAAAAAGATTTTTTAAATTTTATTAGTGTAGGTTAAAAAACCTGGTCTGTTGATAAGGAAAAGATACAATTTGTAATTTTTAATATGATGATAAGGTGGGTTACTTGCAAAATATTCATCAAGGGCATTTTTATTTTGCTTTCGGATTTGTGACATTTATCACAGTGAGAATTTTTTAATGAAAGATATAATTAATAATCGGATAGGGCAAGGTCTGGGGAGTATGGAGAATGAGGTAGAATATTCCAATCAAATTGTAAGTTTCTTTTTTATGGGCAATGCCATATGTTGTAATGACACTATCTATTAAAGAGTTATTTAAGTAGTTAAGTACATGTGACGAAATAAGTTGCCAGACGATGATGAATGTCTCAATTAAAGCCAAATAATAACAAACAAAAAAATACAGATGTTTCAAGTGCCTAAAGATTTATCGAAAAGTAAATAATTGGTGATATTAATATTATTGTTATATAGGACAATGTCAGATTGGAAATGGCTTATCCAAAATACTAAGAAGAGAGACTCAGTAAGATGTATGTGCTGGTATGATCTGTACAAAGATGGAACTAAGCAGCTGATAGTGGGCAGGGACGATGGAAGCATTCAAATATATGGGGAGCCTTTGGAAGGAATGGGAGAAGCTTATATAGAAAAGTATAATTATGTAAGTCCAGTTTTTTATCCTTTACATTTAGAATTAACAGCTAAAAAAGTTCGTTAGTATTCATTTGATTTATAATTTAAATAATTTTTGATAAATTATCTTTCATTTATTTTAGGTTTGTAATGAAAGTATAACTTCAATTCAGGCAGGAACAGTAGGAAATCCAGCTTTCGATGAAATAGTTGCAACCACTTATACAGGTAATAAAACATTCTGAAATAATCTAGTAAAGAGATCTATAGAAATCGGATTAACAGCCTATTTCTCTGCTACAGGATGGTTTTTTGGTCTCACGACTGAGGTTTTGGAGAAACAAGTAAACTGGGAAAATAACAACATGAACATTAAAATGGCACCTGAAGAAAAACAAAAGATCGAGCACTTACGGTAAAACTTGTCATTTATACGAAGACATTTTATAATAAGAAGTATTGAGGAATAATCTGGTTTTGTCACATTATATGCCAATTTTCTAGAATAATTTATTAAATATGCAAAGCACATATGCTAAATTACATGTTATACAAGTCATGTATTACATACCACCACTGCAAAAACCTGTAATAACCATGAAGGCAGTGGATGGTGGAAAATGATAAAAAATGTTTTGTTTTTTTTTAAAATGAAATTATGGAAAGTAAAAATTTCAAATTTTAATGTTTATTTTAGATTTATTCTTTCATTATTACCAAAAATAATTTAGGTTTATATTTAATTTTTATGAAATAAGGGAAGTACAATATTTAAAGTAATTAAAAATATATAGAAAGAGTAGTATAACATTTAAAGTAATTAAAAAATATATATAAAGAGTACTACAAACCAAAAATGGTTGAGAACCCCTGTTTGCAAAAAAATAATTTATGTATTTATTAATTTTTCAGGGTGGAAATAGAAGAAATTGAAAGGTCACTAACAAAAGAAAGAGAAAGATATCAAATGACAACATCTGAAGATTCCATTGGGATGTCGACAATTCTAAACTTGGCAATAAATGATAAAGTAATCAACTTTCTTGAATATATTTATTGAGGAGATGATGGTTGAGGTGTGTGATGATAAATAGAACGCACTATAAATCAAATGAAATATGGTTCCTCACATTTTAAATTTTTTGCCATCATCAGGGTTAAAATAAACTAGAGAATAATAAAAATGATAAGTTCAGCACTAGGAAGAAAATTCTGATACTAAACAGTGGAATAAAATAGGAGAGTTGAAAAAAAAATTAAATAAAAAGGATATACAAATATTTGTGGCACCTGTGAATAGTAGGGGGTGAGGTGGCCGAATAGGCTAAAGCGTGTGCACAGCACCGCTAGTTGCCTGGCAACCAGATAACAGAGATTTGAGATGATATAAAAAGTATGAGTTCGCGTCCCGGTGCCGGATTAAATTAAATTCCCCGCCCGGGAAAATCCCGTATAGCCTAAAAGGCGAGGTAGGGAAGAACAAAAAAAAAAAAAAAAAAAAAAAAAAAAACAACCTGTGAATAGTAGGTTTTGAATTTTGTGGATTTTGAGTTAAGTTTTCCAAATCTTATTTTTTTTTTGTTTCTTTGACTGTTATTCTTTGTTGCAGTAGCTATATAATTTGGCCCATTACACGTAAAGGAAGAGAAAAAAAATTGGTTTGGAGAACATAACTGAAACTCCATGAAATTGCGCTTAACTCACTATTCATTGGTACCACAGATTTCTTTATATTATTATTTTATTTTTTAATGTCCTAATAAAGGCTTGAAACTTAAGCCTAAACACAAGCATATATTAAGCATAATATTCAATTCATATCTCATAATATTTCATTACTGTGTGTTTTTCTTCTCAATGAATCAGTTTCCTTCAAAATGAACCAATGCCACAGTTGGTATACATAAAATCATAATGCATTATACATTAGGGAAACTCACCCCTCTCCTTTCCCCCCAAGGATGGTGATACATGCTCCTACCTTCTAAGAAATGTCATAGCTCTACTATTCTCAAAAACATGGTTTTAGCAAGTGAAAGAAGAGTTATAAAAAACATTGGTTACTTACAATTACCATTGCTGTTATCTATTCCATGTTTTCTCCCTTTTCTCTAGTTTGAAAGTCCCTAAACATATGGTTTACTTCAAAACTTTAAAATATCATAAAATCTACCCTATTCAAAAATTCATAACCCCATATTGTCTTTAAAATTTTTGTTGACACAACTTTTGCCATATTATATCCTTCTGGGTATATCTGTTATACACTAGATAATTCAATTCTTAATTTAAATAGTATTGTTATAACTTCGTTTTCTTCTCATTTTTTCAGATGACATTTGTTAAGGATGATTACGCTTTTATCCTGAGCTTGGAGACAGAAGCACCAATTGACAACGTTCTCCTGCAGTCTGACATTAATATTAAACTTCTTGATGTCGAGAAGAATTCAGCAGTTGTTAGTCACAGTTATTGCAGTCCTCATGTAAGGTTTGAAGATTTTTTTTTTTTACTGTATCATTTTGGTTGATATTAATTATATATCATTTGAATTTCAATAAAAAATTTATTAGAAATCATAATATTTCTTATATGAAATCATAAAAAAAAAAAAAAAAAGAATTGGTGTGGTTCATGCATTACATGACTTTCTTGTATAATCCTGTTTACAGTACAAATTTATTTAACATATACATTTAAACAATTGAATTGATAAATACTACTTGAGTTATTATACAAGAAATATTGAGGTACAATACAAGAAATATTATAAAATATTGTAAAACTGTTGACATTGTTTTCATTATTTACTCTTCAAATTGTTGCAATTTTGAAAACCATGTGAAAATATATTTCATACTAAAATTTACTTAACTCCATAAAAAATACATAGTAAATATTATTTATGTAATTTTTTTTTGTATTAAAAGATATGAACACTACACTCAGAACAAGTTTAAACTTAAAACAATTATACATAGTAAAATAACCACTCAACTATCATATATTTTTTCTACCCACCTAATAACATAAGTTCATGAGATTTTGGTCATTCCTCATTAACTTCTATGACTTTATAAGTCAGATATTATAACATGTTTATATTATTACCCTTATTGCTAAAAATGTATTTAATTTATTAATAAATGATTAGTTTTAAATTATTAATTTATATATAAATTAATAATATCAACCCAGGAATATATTTCTCCATTTTTTATCTGTTCGTTAATTATCCAATTCTTTCTTAGTTCATATTTATCCAATTTTTATAACTATAAGCTATGAGAAATGTATAATTTTTTCAAATAAACAAAATTAATAGTAGATTTAAAGGAAAACATTTTACTAATTGGGCATTTAAAATTTCATTAATTTTGTTTATTATTCTATTATTCTATTATAATAATTATGCTTATATATAACATCTATTTGTTTTCAGAGTGGTAACAAGCTCCTGGCTACATATCGATGCCAAATTGACACATCAAGATTGAATCTCAATTTGCAATATGGCAATGAGTTTGGTATGCTAAATGTGTACGTTACCCCTCACGTCAAACCGAAGACTACTCACTTGAAAACGTACATCTTGAGGCGGCTGGGAATGCTTACCAGGATTCACGACACTGTCGATTTTGTGTAATTTGTATTTGTTTAAATTAAAAAAAAATAATCATAAGAGTATTACCAGAAGATTCCAAAAGTTATAATTTAATAGATGTATATAGACAAGGGTAGAGGATCTCAACAAGGGTAGAGGAAGAGAGCAATATTGCTAAAAACCAAATTGTCCTATTTTAAACCTCGTATCCATCATAGTTGAAAAGTCTTACAATTGTGTTATATTCTATTTATTTAATTTTTGTTAAGTTAAAACAGAGTTCTTTTCTTATTAATGCAAATCTTAATTTTAAAATATTTTTTCATTTGTTTTTTTAAGTTAATGGAATGAAAATAAGTTTAATTTAAGGTACAGAATAAGTTTAGCAAAATATATTTAAAAGGGCTTGTATTTTTAAAAAATATTGGAATATTTTCTAAAAAAAGTAAATACACTTTTAAAGGATTTAATATTCTTATCATTATTAGAATTCAAGAAAAAAAAATGTATTAATAAAACAATCTGTTTAATATTTACTGGCTTCGAAATCGGTTTTGTACCAAATATAAGCTCCTGTCATGCTCAAATACCATGAATGGGGTACTGTTGGATTCAAAATTTCACGAGGGGTTAGCAAAAATCGTGCACTCCTCTTTTGTTTTTCTTTCTAAAATAAATAAGGTTGATATAAAGATTTTGTTAGGCTTCAAAACTGGAATGGTGGTAAGTCTGAAGATTGATACGGAACCAATTGGGCTTCGAAGATTTTGATGCATACACCAAAACCCCATTGGATAGTTCCGAATATATTTTCATTAGAATCCTTAAGAAATTTATCTATAACTATTCCTAATCAAAATTAAAAGATATTCATTTCAATTAATATTTAAACTTAGGAAAACATATTTTATGTTTTTAAGAGGAAGAGAACATTATTAATCTTTCTCATATATTTTTATTTAAAATCACAACCTTAATGTTTTTTTGGGAATTTTATCCATTTTGAGATCTCACTATAATAAGTACATTTAGACATAATTAAATAAGTTATCAACTATTTGTTATATGCACATATCTGAACTATATAATTTTAATTACCTTAATTTTTTATATTATTATTTTTCTTAAATCATTTGAAGATTAGAAAACAAAATCATTATTATAAAAATGTTTTACAGATCTTTCCACGTGCTACGGCTGAAAGGAACCTTTACATTAGCTGAAATGCACAGCTTCGTTTCCGTGTGTTTGCCTCAAGTTCCTGATAAAATGCCAACAACCAATAAAATTATGTACTGTTACGAATCATCATTTAGTGGGACACAGCTGAAGTGCCAATATATGTATGTTTTATTCACTAATATTAGCAGTGATTATAAGTATTATGTCATTTTTTAATCAGTAAAAATATTTTTAGTGTTTTTTAATTAATTGTTGAAGATTCCTTAGTATGTTTCTTATTAGACAATGTTCACTTACTGATGCGTTTATTGCAAGATATTTTGCTTCACCAGAATACATTTTCTTAAGAATGGCATACACAAGTGAACCTATTATTTGATGACTCTTTTTGAAACTATTTATTACAATTAGATTTCTATAATTCAAAGATTGAATCCATTAGCATTTTAAAGGGACTACAATAAAATATATTAAATTTCCTTAATACTGCCTATATACATGATACATGATTGTATATAGGTATGTATGTGTTCTTTTTATTGATTTATTTTTAGGTTATTTTATTCTTATTTATTGTATATATATTATTTTTCTGTATAATTTATTTTATTTACTGTACATAGAGTGTGAATGTGATCTGTGAACACTATTATAAATAATGTCCTAGAGACAGATTGTAATATTTTTCAATAAATAAGATTAAAATAAAAAATAAAAAATACTGCCTAAATTCTAAATATGATTGGTCGGTTTTGAGGATTCCTTTATCTCTGTCATAAGTTATATTAAGCTTCAAATATTTTATATTATTTTTGATATATTTTATCTTAAAATTATTATGAAGACACGTTTTAAATGAGATGAATATTACCAGAAGAAAAGAAAATGTCATCAACATAGAGAGTAAGATATTTTACTTCCTCTTTCATCTTCGTAATGTATAGACAGTAATCAGCATCTGAATGGGAAAATACATGATTTTCTACAAAGAATTGAATTTAGTGTTCCAATCTTTTGGAGTATATTTTAGGCCATAAGAATTTTTACAAGTTCCGCATAATTTCTCATGGAATCCAGCTTTTAAAGGTATATACCTTTAACTGCTTCTTTAATTTCTCCATGTAAAAATGCATCATTAACAACTATTTGATGAATATACATTTCAAAATAGGTTGCAGTAGCTAGTGAAATTCGTTGAGTCGGAAGTTCATTATAACTCTATAACTATAACCCAGTAGGGAGTTTTATAGCGGAAGCTGTGCCATCAAAATGTTTGAGGTGGGCACATTTTGATAGGTTTTTTAATTTTTGAGGGGAGCACTTATCGGCGGGGTTATGAAGTTTCAGAATGAAAAGTTTGAAACCAGAAGACAAGGGGAGGCATGTAACAGATTACGGGATGTGTAATTGTATGTAATCTATTTTTTTTTTTAATTCCACTTCCTTGCACTAGTTTTAAGAAGAGCACAGTAAGAAAATATCTTGAGAGTGGATGGAGGGGGGGAGGGAGAGTTTCATGCGCTATCGACCTTGAGGGGATGGGCACCCCTGTAACTCAATAAAGCAAAATGTTGGACAAATTGTGACTCTCCCTCTGTTGGAATACTCATAGAACTTTAATATCCTGTTCACCAACATTTATTTTAGATTTTGATCTTTTGTACTTTTTTCTTTCTGAAATTTTTATAGTTGTACTAATTACTTTAGTAGATATCCACGAAAAAATTTTGAAGTTCTAATTACCATAAATCAAATTTTTATAAGAGTGTAAATAAAATCGTTGCATTATATATGTACATAATAATTGTAAAATGTTTTCAATTTGAAAAATGTTCTTATGTTTTAGAAAAGGAGAAGCAGAATTTCAATCAGATGATATTACTATTATATCCAACTTAAAAGACTTTCTCACTCAGCAAGCAACCAGAAAGAAGACACATCTGGAAATAAGTTTTGGTAAGAAACAAAGATTAGCTGAGTCTTCTTATTGCTTAACTCATGGAATATTTTCCAGTGCAGTAAGCAAACTGTTGTAGCTATGCGGGATTTTCCTGGGCCAGAGAGTGAGGGGTTAATGCCAGAGTTAAAAGGATCCCTAGGCATCGGGACACAAACTCGTAGACATTTTACCATTTATAACTTAGGCTATCCGGGCAACCTGATGAATGAGATAATTTGATTCAAATAATAATGACATTGTGTCCCGGTGCCGAGGGGGCTTTTAACTAAAAAAGAAAAAAAAACTTGGGTTATCAGGTTGCTGGACAATGCCCAGGGCTGTGCACACACATTAGCTCGCTTGGCCTATGTAATTAAAGTAAATCTAATTACATAATCTTCTTTCATTTTTCAGAGTTGAATACTGAATGCATGAAAAGAGTATTATCCAAAATGTATCCAAGGATGAAAGAAGAGCTAGAGGAACAAAAACAAGCTCTATTATTCGAAGCTTTAAAAGATATTGAACAGAATGAAGGGGAAAATACAATGTATCTTACTCCGTATTGCAGAAGTATTATTGAAAAACAAACTAAAATGTCTGCAAATAAAACGTTGAATTGGAATAGATTGGAAAGAATACAAGGTAAGCATTGTCAAAGAATAAATTATCGATACTATTTTAAGTATAAAACTTTTAATAAATGTTTTTTTCATTTACAGAATACATAATGAATCTTCTCAGTGATTGGTTTAAATTCCAACAAGTTAATGTAAAAACAAAATTAGCAAAATTAAAAGAAAATCTTAACGAATGCACTCTCGAAGATATAATGACTTTTTTTGAAAATACTGAATATGATCGAAGTGTCATTAATAGCCCAACTGTTTGATTTTGTTAATTTTTTCATCGATGGAGGCTTTTTGGTACTAATTAAAATGTATAGGTTCAATTTTTATTGAATAGGGCCTAAATTACTATACAGTAGATGTTATGACAGATGTAATCCATCAGACTGTATCGAGAAAATTTTATACTGTTTATATTTAAGATATATTTACTCAATTGAAGGACTTGATGCAAGAATCAAATGTCTAAATTTTCCTGAATTTTACCTTTGGACAATATTATACTAAGCATAAATGTAACATAAATCCTCTACTGGAATATGTGGTAAATGAGAATAGAAAATATAATATCTGTTTGTGTAGAAACCAGATATTGCTGGACTTAAGTTGTTTTTTTGCGCCAATATTAATGAGAGAATAACACGTTTGAAGAAAAAACATTTTTCAAAGTCTAATGTTGGAGTTAGTGTCTTATTTGATTTCATATGGCTCTAACCTAAAATTTGTGAATTTGGATTTATCTGGTTCTTGTATCAAGGCTTTCTATTTTTTAAATTGGAAATAACTCAATGTAATATAAATCAGATCAACTTGAGTACTTGAATGAACAAGTTGTTTAAAATAATAATAAAATAAATAACAAGGGCCATTATTACAGATTTTGTTAAAGCTTAACTGGTGGTCTAACAGAGGCATAGTTTACCTTCCTATTCTCCTGTATGATGCAGAGAGCTAGGGTTTAACTGACTGACTTTGGAGTAGAATCACTACAACAGTAATGAAGTCCTACGAAGGATGGCTAGGAAAACAGGAAGGGACTGCACAAGGAATAAAGAAATCAGAGGAGAGCTCAAGACGTGCTCTATCGTGGAAACAACTGAAATAGTTTGTACATATCTATAGAATGAACTATATCTAACAGGGAAGAGACCAAGATGAAAAATGATTCTTGATCAAATGTAAACTAGAAAATGGCAGAGGTGAAACGTTGAATAGTTTGAGAAATATTATTGTTAATAGAGAGGATTGGCAAAGCAGGGTAAACACAATGCAATAAAGCACTAAGAGTAAAAGACAAATAAGAAAAATAATGTTTAACAGACAACTCCATTCAAAAACCATTTGTATGAATATAAAGGTTAAATCTCTAAATGAAATTTAACAGGTATTTGAAATATCAAGCTTCAAACTTAGTTTCAGTTTTCTTTTTTTCATTATTACACTACAATGTGTTTTTGTATCCATGAAGATAAAATAAATATATAGAAAGATAGAAATAATAGAGTATTAGTGATATACTTATTGTTAAATATTTTTTAAAAATATATTTATTTATTGAATTTATTTTATAAATAAAACACATTTTCCTTGAATTTAGTTTAATTCATTATTAATTTAATTATTTAGCAATATTTAGTATATTGAAGGAAGTTAGTCGACTGTTCTACATATCATGAATGAATGAAAAAATAATTTTATTCTGGACTACAGTCCCCTAAGAATAATAACAGAATTACATAATTTAGAACATTAAACTGACTTTGATGCCTAATTTGTTGATTGTTATTACAATTGTATAGTTGATTGAATTAAACAGTACAGATTCAAGTCAATTTTACGTGTTTGTGGATGTTTCAATACGGAGTAGGAGGTGGAACAGGAGTTGTTTGAAGGAATTTGTGGATGAAGATTGATGTTTGGAGTTAGGTAGAGAGTTCCAAAAGGAGCTAGCACAAATGACGAAGGATTTGCTGAAGGAGGCAGTTATATGGGAGGAGATATATAAATATATAGGTTGAGACCTGATATTGAGAGAGTGGATAGAGGAATGTAGAGTAAGGAGTTCCAGGATGTAGGGAAGATTTTTGATTCTGAGGACTTGGAAAAGGAAAACACTAAGGAGGAATTGTCGTTGGGAAGTAGGATAAAGCCACTTCAACTCGGTATAGCAGAATCTAACATGAAAACGCTTGGGGATCCCAAAGATTTATCTTATGAAACACTTCATGAGTTTCTTAGGGCGGGGTGGCCGAAGGGGCTAAAGCGTGTGCACTGCACCGCCATTGCCCGGCAACCTGACATATGAATCAAAGATATAAAAATAGTACGAGTTCGCGTCCCGGTGCCGGGGGAGTCTTTTAAATCCCCGCCCACACTCCCTGGTCCAGGAAAATCCTGTATAGCCTTAACGGCGAGGAAGGGGACACAAAAAAAAAAAAAAACTTCATGAGTTTCTTTATTCTCATTTCTAGTCAAGCAGATAGCCCTCCAAACACCAAGCAGCCGTAGTCAAAGTGGGGGACTATTTATGAGTGACAAATAGTCAGAACGCAGTCATTGTGAACATTTATTTGTGCTAACGTTGAGTACTTGAATAACTTCAGAGCTCGAAACATGCCCTGATGATGACCCACATGCTTATGTTGAAACGTTGGCACAAATAAAAAATATTAATGATAACGTCCTGACTATTTATCAACCATAATATTTAGTATATACAAATTTCTCAGATGACTTTCCAAATATTTTTGAAGTTAATTATATTTGATATTAAGTATTAAGAGTTATTAAATAAATTAAAAAATACACTCCTTAGAAAAATGATACAGACAATTCATTTGGTATCTTTATTTATTATTTGATATTTCCATTGTTTGGTAATTTCATTGATATATATTCATTTGGTATATAACAACAGATGGTGTACGTTTTTTATGTATTGATTAATTTAACTGAATGATGTAAATAATTTTGTATATTTTATACTTAACCATCTCACCTAAAATAGACTCTCATTTCGTTAGTTTATCACAAAAAGAGAGTGACACTCTTCATAAAATTAAATCATTCAGTATTTAAAAAAAAATTCTCGCTGTGCATTCAGAACATTACACAATTATTGGTTTATTATCTCAACATATAACATCAGAATTCACAAAAATGTACTTAGTAACATTTTCCAATAAAGTGGAAATTTATCTGCCATCTGCTGGTCTGGTCAATAGTTTTTATTTAATAAAACTTTAAAATTAATTTTGATTAAACAATTGAAATAATGGAGAAAACAACAGGTAAAGAAAAACTAATTTAAATATATTGTACTTTAATTCTTAAAAAATATATCAGTATTTTACATATACATCAGTAAAAAAAATTAAAGTATTTTAAAAATACATCAGTATCAGTATAAATATAAGAGTTTCAGTAATATTAACCTTTCAAATGTAAATTTATAGCAGGTTAATATTTCACATCAACTTATGTTTCATTATTCTAATAAAAAAATATATATCACATATATAAATAATTTCAGCACTTAATTAATCATAATATTATTAATTACATATTGTGTTTCCTCAATAAAACAATTTATATAATATAATTCTATTAGATTTATCAGGCAAGGCAGTTTTATTAACAGTTATTGGCAATTAGGAATCATCACTACTTTCATTACCTATACCTAAAAAATCTTGAATTAAGTATTCACAAAACCTAATTGATTTACTTCTATCTTTGCTAACAACATTATTATCAATTATAGCACTGTTATTTATTTTTTTTAAAGCGCCGTCAATCACTGAAGGGCTTAAACTATTATTATTATCTAAATCTATCACTACTTCAGCTCCTGGAAACTTATCAAACTTCGTAAAGAGGTCAAGCAAAAGATTGGCTGCTTTATTATCAATCAAATTATTTCTTAGCAATAAGGAAAGTTTAAATTTACTAGGCCAATTGATTTTGGATAACTTATTAACTAAATATTCTACTAAATCATCCTCCACATTACTGGTAGAGAAGTTTAGAGTAAGATTCAAATTTTCAGGAAGAGGAATACCACAGAAACCGTCCAATATTTCATCTAACAGTCTTTTATCAAAGGTTCGCTCGGCAAAATATAATTGGAATTTGGTGTCGCCCTTATCTAGATGTTTTTTCACAACATTTAATAGATCTGTTTCATTATTCGTATACATGATTGGTACCTGAAACAGCAGATAGATAAAATCAAATAATTTTTATAGTTCAAAAGAATTATGTATATTATATTACTACATAATGTTAAAATGATTAAAACATAATGGAAAAATGTTATGAATTTAACATAGATATGCACCTTCTCTTTGCGGAACAGGAGTATGGTAGTGTAGACAGAAAGGGACTTTTGAAATCTATGATAGATGTAGGCATACTTAAGAAACTGGTCTGACTTACAAAAACGACACTAATGAAGATTACCTGTCGAGTGAAACTTGCAAATTCGCTGTCCGAAGAATTTGAGGTGGATAATGGATTGAGACTGGATGATCCTCTATCCTTTCTTCTTTTTAATCTAGCCCTGGAAGTGGCTGTTCGTTCTATTCGAACAAATCCAGGAGGAACAATCAAAAGAATCGTATGTCTCAACATCTGGTATATGCCAATGATGTTGTCATTATCTCTAAAACCCAAGCAAGATTATCAGGAATTTTCTAGGAATTCGAAGAAGCAGCGGCTAAACTGGGCCTTAGAGGTAATGGAAATAAGATGGTTTCTATCAAAAATTCAAAAATGGAAAAAAAGTGAGTACAGAAATAGCTTTAAGGGATCACAACCCTTAGGTCTATTGACCAGTTCAAGTACCTTGGAAGCTTGGTCACATGCAATAATAAAATAGAGAGTGAAATAAACGCCAGGATATCAACATGAAATAGATGTTATTTATCACTGCAAACAGACTTGAAATTTAGATCACTCTCTAAAAGAATCAAAATTCTCATCTGCAAAACCATAGTAAGCCCAGTGGTTATGTATGGATGTGAGAATTGTATCTAAACCAAAAACTCAGAATGCACTCTCAACTGATGGGAGGGAAAAGTATTGAGAAGAATATGGAGTGGAATCTTTGAGAATGGAATTAGGAGAAGAAAGAATGAAGAGCTTTATGGTGAACCTGATATTGTGGTATTGATAAAAAGAGGATGTTGCATGAGAAGCCGTATGGCAAAAGAAGTAGAGGGCACTCTTGGATCAGATGGCTGGAGAATGTGGATGCCGATCT